TTAAAATTCTAAATCTCTATGTACATGTAAGGTATTATTAGCCGGGTTGCCATTATTAGTTGTTATTATTGATATGAATTATATCAATGAAAATAATAGTAATTATAATGATAGCGAGCCCCTATGAAGCAGGGACTGTCTCACTAAGTTGTCCAATATGGTGTACAGCATTTGGCAGTACCAGAGCCATAAAAGAGATGCTTTTAATGATTCATTCAAAAAACTATTTTATTAAACATCTATTGTATGCATCACATGTATGTCAAATAATAAAAATCGACATTTCTATTGTATTAAGTTTATACAAAGCACTTTGTATACATGTTCTTATTTCATAGATGATGATGATAATGATGATAAATATAGATAACAAAAAAACTGAAATGTTTTATGACCTTAATTAGATGTCTATAGGATCTCTTCTATTATTATGTTAAGACTTGATCTCCCTTTCTTACCTTGGCTGTAAGTACAGGGGCTATTTGTGGGCCTACTCCTTGACATAGGAACTTTGACTTGCTCCATTTCTGATCCCTCTTTAGCCAACCTGGTAGATACCACCACCCTCTCCCCACTCCCTCAGTCTCCCTCCCCCAACCTGGTCACGGCTTACCTTATTAATGCTAAACATAGTGTAGACACCCAATTGACTTAATCCAGAGAACTCCTCAACTCAAAAGATCCACCAACCTCAGAATCAGCCTTCTCATAGCTAGAACCACAGGAATGCACCACCACCCCTGGCTCTTGAATAACTTACTACAAGAATACTTCTAGCTCTGTATGAACTATCATAGCGGTACAAGAAAATTCTCCCTGTTCCTTCTCAATCTATATTCTCTTAAATGTTCAGTTAGGAAAAAAAACACCAAATATGGAACCAGAAACTCTTGAGCTCTACAACTTACTCATCTCAACACCTTTGCCAAATCACTGAACTCCACCCCACCCTCCCACCCCCTTCCCCAGCCTCAATTCCTACAGTCCCCTCCTATTAAGAAGGATAATTCCTACCCTTGGGCACTGCCTGCTTTTGAGGTCAAAGGACCTAGTATATTGCACACTACTTTGTAAACCATTAAAGGGTTAAATAAATGTAAACCATACTGTTGCTGTCTTATTATTAGAACTCAAGTCATCTCACTGGTAAAGTGATGAAATGAAGCATTTAAAATGTTAAAATAATGATTATTCATATTATATATTTTATGGGGACCATAATTATAATCCAGCATTACTGGGACTATATTATAGCATCAGAAAATGATGCCATCATTAAGGAGATGATGTGTAAGGATGGAATTTGGATTGCATTTAAAGTAGGAATGACAGACTCCTGGCCAAAGATGGAGCATACCTAACAAAAACTTGTAGAAATCTATTTTCCCAGGGTCTTGCAAATCAAATGAAAAGGAATTGAAATGTAATATAAAGAAGGAAGGAGAAAACTGACTATTTATATCCACCAGCTTAGATACAGTAGAGAATAGGTACGAAGAAACAGGTAAGAAGAAATGCATTTGAGATATCCAGGAATTCACAGGAGACAAAATACAAGAAATGCATCAGCTTTAAAACACTAGCCTCAGATACCTATACACAAAGTAACAAAGTGTGGGTGAGAAGCAACAGAGATCTTAATACGAGGATGTCAATTTTGACCTCATAGGTATCATGAAATCTAGTAAATGAGACCTATGGCTGGAATATGATTCTGGGAGGTTAGAATTCATTCAAAAGAAATAGAAAAGATGAAAATGAGAATGGAAAGAAAATAGCCTTGTATATTAAGAAAATATACCATAATATTTTTCATGAAGGAAGGCTCCTTGAGGAAGGAAGAGGGAGGGACATATATGTTAATGAATGTGATGTTTAAAAAGGACATCAACTAGATAAACAACAAACAGAGGATATATTCATGTGAGGAAATAAAGGAAAGTTTATGTAGTAGAGAGCATTTAAGTAAAAATCCACAGAAGCAGAAACAAAAGCCATATTGTCAGAAGTGTCAAATATGTGGCCCACAGGCAAAATGCACAATGTCCCTTGTGCTCCTGAACCACACTAAAGTGTAATTAGGAAATATTTAACAATTTTTTTAAAATACAATGAACATAGATAATGTTAATATGTGATTTTCTAAATTGCTGTTTGCTTGCAAGGATCATTTTACATTATTTAGTGACCCATTTCTATTTGAGTTTGACACCACTGATATCACTCACCTGGGGAAAAAAAAAAAAAAGGGGGAAAGACATGGGGCTGAGACAGGATATAGTAGTGAAGGGGGAATTCAAATTTCCCCGAATGGACATATACAGGAGTTTTCTCTCAGCTAAGAGTAAAGCAGTTGATAACTTCTTGATTTGACTTTATCATAATTTCATCCTTCAAAAGATAGAGGAACCAATAAGAGGAAATTCTATTCTGGATCTTATTCTCAGCAACAAGGAGGGATTGATTTCTGGGGTGGAAATGATAGGAATCTTCAGTAGAAGCTAGGGTGTGCTGGACTCAGTGCCTATCTCAGGAGAGACTATTGTTAATTTTTCAGTCTGAGCATTTACACCTTGGAAATCAGCAAAGGCTACATATCAGGGGTGATTTATTGTTTTATTGGATTGCCTAGACTCAAGAAAGTGATGGAAAAATGTTAATAGCAGATATTAAAAGTAAAAATAGGTCATTTGTACGTTCTCCTCCTCTCCCCAGAGTTTTTGGTTAAACATTTACCAGCACACCCCCAGAAATGACTTCTCCATGAAGAGCAGAGTCAGGCATGATTTGACATGTAGTGTAGATGTAGAGAGAGCATATTTTTAAAGATGCAAAAGAAAAGTAAGTAGTACTGTATGGACTAAAAATCTGCAAGAGAAGTCAGCCTAGGAGAGAAGGACAACTCTTTGGAATGAGAGTCTGAAGATACAAGAGAAACAATTCCAATGAAGAGGAAAGTCAGCTAGATGAGCTATCCAGAGGTGGGGAGCCTGTGGCCTCAAGGCCACATGTGGCCCCCAGGTCCTCAAGTGGGGCCCTTTGGCTGAATCAGGTCTGCACTTGAGGACCTAGAGGGCCACATGTGACCTTGAGGACACAGGTTCCCCAGTCCTGAAGGTTCTCAAAGACTTGGCTGATATTATGCTGAACTTCTGTATATATCACTGTTGCTCAGTGATCTTTAAAGGTCCTACAGGATTGAAGAAGGGCAAATACCTCAATTTTCAAAAAAAAAAAAGGGAAGAAAATACAGTCTAAAAACTATAAGCCAGTGAACTTCACTTTGATTCCAGGAAAAATTCTAGAAAACATTCATAAATAGATAGATATTGAACACCTTGAAAAGGAAATAATGATTGCAAAGAGTCCAGCTTCGTGAAGAACAAATAATGCCCTTTTTGGAAGGGTTGTTAACCTGGTAGAACAGAGAATGGTGCAAGCATAGTTTATCTGGATTTTAGAAAGGTCTTAGAATGTTAGCTTGTGGAGAGCAGGGACTGTCTATATCCTCAGTGCTTTGTACATAGTAACCACTTAATAAGTGCTTTATTCATTCATTCATTTCACAAAATCTTTCATGCTTTTATCATAAGAAAAACGGAGAGATATAGTTAAGATGTCACAGTAATTAGGTGAATTTAGAACTGGTTAATTGAACGAACCCAATCCTAGGCTTAAGTCACCTGACAATTAAAAGGGGCCTTGAGCCCAGCAGAATTACCCAATTTGAAATTGAGTTAGAATGCCTAAAGCTAAACCTCAGCACAGAGACCCCAGAAGGTTGTGTATCCTTTATAATTTTAAGCATGTTTATTGGTTCTCCTCCCCATGTTTCCTAATGATCTACAAGCCTCCCTAACCAGGAATTTCCCTTTTCCCTTCCCTCTTCTGTGTAATCAGACTGAATTAAAGTACGGGGTGATCAGGCATTGTGGATTGGATAGTGACTCCTAACAGTGAAGGTAAAATAAATAGACTCCGGGAGACCAGTTAGGCTCCCAGAACCAGAAGTAAATGCAAAATGCCTATCCCTTGTTTCCATTAACATTTGACTGTGGTAAAGGACTATCTTCCTGGCTGGGGCTCTTCCAACATCCTAGGAGAAATGTTCCGGGGGGGGGGGGAGGAGTCAGTCTTTCGATTCACACTCCGCATCGTCATGCTCACATGGTGCAGCAAACGTTGTTCTACTTACAGGGATAGACTGAAAAATGTGCTGGGTGGAATTAAAATCACCGTTGCTGGGCTAACCGTGGGCAGCCTCGGTTACTATGGAAAATTCCTGATTAAAGTCTGCAAAGAATTTCTCATGTAGAGTGTTATTAATAGACACCTCAGCAGTGCTTTTGACACTGGAGATTTGGTCTTTTAGGACGTCATCTCACAGGCAGAAAGATAAAATGAGACTTTTTTTTTTTTTTAGCCAAGGAGAATGCACCCTATTCCTCAAGCCAGCCCCCCTCCTTTAACAACCCCTATGGTTCTGCTCTGTTTGCCCCAGAGCAAAACTGCAACCATGAAATTATTTTAACAAGTCCATAAAAAAACAATTTGCCTGAATGATGCTTGGGGAGGGGAGAGGGGAGAAACCCTCCCTCTAAACTAATTCAACTGTACTATCCGTCCTTGTGTGGTTCCTGACATTTTTCTGGTTCACTCAGTTTCAATAGTTACTCAAGAGCTGGAGCCAAGGCTCCTGAATGACTGCTCAGAACAAAAGCAGGGTCTCCGGAGAGTTCTTGGGCCGCCAGGAAATTGAGGGAAAGTTATTTTGGGTTAATCAATGTACCTCAGTTGCAATCACATTTAGCCCTGTTATAGAAAGGGCTGGGAACAAGGAATTACTGTTTGCAGTCCAGCTAGAGACACACCAGGAAGTGACAGGGACCAGGCTCTCCTTCTCGGACTTTTTTTTTTTCTAAAAACACATCTAGCTTTTGATGAAGTATCTCTGAATGGCCACTCAATTTGCATTTTTTCCCGATCATTTATGTACTTACCACCAAGACAGGAATTACTGGAAACCACTGGCAAGTTGCTCAGACATTGTTGCAAGGGAATGATCGATTCCCAGCCTGGTAAGGGCTGGACGTTGATTAATGACTGTGAACTTCAGATTTAGGCAGGCAAACCCTTAGTTGGTGCTCGAAAGTTCTTCAGGTATGGGTAGGGTTTTTGCTGAAAACAAATTAGAAAGCATTATAGAATGTTTTAGATGAAACACAGTGCTTCGGGTGTTTGACTTTGTACCTTACCTTGTGAGAAAGAGACCTGAGGCTATTTGCCCCAAACTTAATCCCCTACACTCCCAAATGACAACATTTAACGATTTCTCTGGAGTGTAAAAGATTATTCCCCTTTGGAAAGCACTTGAAAATAGCACAGGTGTTTCAAATGTTACAATGCTTCTCTGGAAAGACCTGAAATCTGCAGTTGGGCCTTGACTTGTAAAAATATTGTTGCCCTAGCCTTCAACACTTTAAGGCTCTGAAATTTCATCAGTGTGAACATTCTCTCCATGGATGTAGACATCAGCCTCCTGTACTCCACTGGAGACAGTCTTTGTGAGTCATCACAACTGAGGAAAATTTTCTGTCATATAGTCAAGCTTCTGGGGATGGATAATTCCCCCACATTTAGCTAGCCTAATTCCTAAGGGGTAGACATACTGCATCAATGGACCCGGCCTTAAGATCTTTCCAACCCCACAAACCGAGCTTGCACTTGAATGTTAGTGCCTTCAAGAAACCCGGGACCTTTTAAGCCATTAGAGAAGTACTTTGGTAGAGTTTGACAGATACAAGGGAGAGAAATTAGGATCACTTCTCTACACAGTGAAGGAATCAAACCAAGACAAAACTAGGGCTTTGACACTTGTCACTGTGGCTGAACTAAATCATAGCACAGTTCACATGGAAATATCACCAGGAATTAAGCTGGAAGACCTGGATTCAGATCCTGACTCTGCTACTTATTTACTCTCTCTGCAATTCCATTTTCCTATTTATTAACCAGATGACCTGTACAGTCTCTTCTAGGTGTAAATCCTATGATCCTACATTACCAAAGTAAGAACGTTGGCTTTGATACAGGCTGTTCACTTTTGAACATAGAGAAGGTCCCAAAATACCACCTACGTAAACAGGTCCATGGGAGGGGGGTTGGCGAGGTGATTACCCTATTCACTAACAGGAATTCTTAGAACTTGAAGTAACCAGCTCGTCTCACAATGAGGAAACTACAATGCAAGATGGGGAAGCTGCCAAGGTCACATGTCTAATTACACATCAGAGCCAGGATCGGAACCCAGCTTTTGCACACTCACTTTTCACTAAAAGCACATTATACTTTAATACCTGGACAAGTTCATGGAGGTTGTAAGTTGTAGCAGATTACTAACGATGACTCCTGAGCAAGAAGTAACATAAAAGACATCATTGAGAAAATGTGTAAGTGGGAAAGGAGGTTCTCGTTCAGTCATTCAGGAGTATCATGATCCGTGGACCATATTGTCCACGAGGCTTTATTTGGCAGATAGTGGAGTGGTTTGGAAAAGGATGTAGTCCGGTCATATAAGGCCAGCCAGGTGGCCCAGTGGAGTCAGGAAGATCTGAGTTCAAATGTGGCCTCAGATACTTACTAGCTGTATGACCCTGGGCAAGTCACTTAACCTTGTTTGCCTCAGTTTCTTCCTCTGTAAAATGAGCTGGAGAAGAAAATGGCAAACCACTATGGTATCAACAAGAGTTGGATATGGCTGAAAATGACTGAACAACAAGAATGAGTCATATAGCAAGACCAGGGCCTAAAGGGGAGATACAGATGAAATGTTAAAAGGACAGAAAGTATGTAATACAGTCGTGCCACAAAGCTGCAGAGAGTCACTGTGACGCCTTCTCACAGGCTATTTGTGTTGTCGTTGTTCAGTTGTGTCTGACTCTTCATGACCCCATTTGGAGTTTTGTTGGCGATACTGGAGCGGTTTGCCATTTCCTTCCCCAGCTCATTTTACAGATGAAGAAGCTAAGGCAAACAGGGTTAAGTGACTTGCCCAGGGTCGCACTGCTAGTAAGTGTCCGAGGCCAGATTTGAACTCATGAGTTGCGTCTTCCTGACTTCAGGCCCAGCACTCTATCCACTGAGCCAGTGCTAAAAGAGTTGAGCTCTTTGGAAGTAATGAAGCAATCCCTTTTTTAGCCACTGAGGAGTTGGAGGTGACTGAAAAGTGATCCAGAAGTGGATGTGTGCAGCGATCGGAGATCGTAGGTCCATCGGGTAGAGCTACCTGGCAGCAGGGTATCTGCTCTTGAAGTAGATGACCCATAGACAGAAAGAACCTAATCCATGGATTGACTTGCAAGAAAGCAGCTACCTTGAGGGAAACAGCGCAGGGAAAAGAATACTGCCTGTTCAGAATTCTGGCAAACTGCATCATGTTTTGATGTTTAAGTCTCTCTTCCCAGGATAATATAACAGTAGTTATTACTGCCCCTTGTCTTAAGCCATTGTTATTTGGACACTTTTAAGAACCTTCTATGCTGAGCATTTCTTTTTTAGTGTAGCAAATAAATAAATGTCCATTATCTCATATATATTGTACATTTCAGTACCTTTCTGTTCCTCCCCCTCCTCCACTTTGGGAAGTCCCTAGACATGAGCTTTAAGTAAATCTTAAATTTAATGAGAAAAGTCCTAGAAGGGGATTTTGACTTCTCTTCTAGGTTGTAGGATTCCCCCAAGACTGAACCCAGTGAGTCTCCATGTTCATGGGTCCCTTAATAGAAAGGGTTCGAGGATAGCACCTTAGTCTCTTGTGACCTGTAGAGATTCTAATCGTTATTTTTTTAAAAAATGGTTGGAGACTCTATGGAGGATTTATGAGAGCACATAGAAAATTTTCCTAATGTAATCCAGCCTTATGTCTTCCTCCTATTCATTTCTGAGCAATTCTAGCTATACAGTGCCCATCGAAGACAAGTACCGAAGGAATAATGCAATTCATTCTTCCTCCAATTTGTTTTTCCTCCATGGATTGTCAAGCCAATAGCTTTCAAAATCTATGAAATGACAGCAGATAGCACAAATAAATTTTGTTGATCATGACAATGGGTCAGTAGATACACATTAGAAATAATTGCCATTTATGGAGTCGTAAAAGTACTGTGTCTCCAAGTATGCTCTAAACAGCTAGGAAAAGGGATTAGGAAAACTGAAACTGTAGTATTCTCCTTCGGCAAAATGAGTTGGTGAATTCCAATTGCATCAAACCATTGGTTTGTTCTAGAATAGTGTTATCAAACTCAAATAGAAACAGATTCCTTAGGGCTGGCAGTATATTGACTTAGAAATCCACAAATTAACATTATTTGAATTGTATTTTTGTTTATTTTGTTAAACATTTACCAATTATGTTTTTTTAGGGGGACAGGCAATTGGGGTTAAGTGACTTGCCCAGGGTCACACAAATAGTAAGTGTCAAGTGTCTGGTCTGAGACCGGATTTGAACTCAGGTCCTCCTGACTCCAGGTCTGGTGCTCCAATTATGTTTTAATCTGGTTTGTTCTGCACTCTGCAATTCTATAGGCAGCTTATGCTGAGGAGACCACAAGTTTGACACCTCTGCAGTCTAACAGAGTGAGGTAGCAAAAAGTATATGGGCCTTGGATCTATCTAGAAGACATGCATTCAAATCTCTGCCTTGACGTTACTTATGTGACTAGAGGCAAGTTATTTCACCTCTATGCTTGAGTCATATTGTGTGAAAAGTGGAAATAAGAATATTTCTATTACTGATTTAATGACAGGGCTATTATGATCTCGGAAACTTGAAGTACTAGAGAAATATGTTACCATAGTTCAGGGTGGAAAGAATGGATTCATCAGTGCAGCTATTTGACATCATATAAATTAAACAATTCAATTACATAACTGACCTTTGTATTTTCCAGTTCCAAAACTGCAACTTCAGATACTGACGAGCAGGTGTCCTTCCTATCTGAACATATAAGGAACTACTTGCTCTGCCCACATGGGCTAATACAGCTCAATGGGACTTTAAGGATGACCTAGCCTACCCTCAGATAGGGGAAGCACCTTGTCCAAGGTCACACAGGTAATAAGTAGAAGAATCAGGATTCCAGCTGAAGGCCTCTCACTCTTAATTGTTTTCCTATTAAACCACTGCAACATGGCAAGGTCGGGCTTGAAGGGAAGTTTTCCTTGCTGAAAACTGAATGCTGTGGACTCCCCACCATCCCCCGAGTGAACTTCTTACACAGCTAACAAGCCTTTCACTCCTGCAAAGTGAATCGAGACTGGGGTAGGGTGCAGTAACGCTATACTGGTGGTCGTATTACAAGGTGGTATCCACTGACACGATTGGGGATACTGTTTCCTCTCTGAACCTTGTGTGTTTCATGGGGGAGGTGGTGAACAGAGTGGTACTGTCCTCTTTTCCAAGTCCTCTTGCTTCTTTCTCACTGTCTGGCAAAGGGGCTGCTGGTGAAAGGAGTAATAGCCCAATACAAAGCCCTTGCTGACTGACACAAAAAGGGAGGAGGTCAACAATGACTGTGAATGACAGCTGTTCTGAGTTGATAAATTAGAAGCTGTAGTGGTATCTGAGAATCAGAGGACCTGGGTTCTAGAGTCATAGAAGTTCAGAGTGAGAAGGGACCCTGAGAGGTTATCTAATTTAAACCATCCTTGAATAGGAACACCCCGATAAAATACTAGGTAATTCATCATTCAGCCTTTACTTGAAGACATTCACTACCTCCCAAGGCAATCCATTCCACTTTGGATCAGTTCTAATTAGAGTTTTTTCCTTTATACTCTGATATTTCAAAGGATCTAAGATCACATTAATGCATGTATTACTCCATCAGTGCAGAGTGTAACTCATCCTTGCCTTCTTGTCCTATGTGATTCTTACCCACAATCTCTCCAAGATCTTCCACATAGGATCTACCCAAACATTTCGCAGGGACCAGTGCAACACTTGGGCTGGACATATGTAGTTGTTTACTCCCATTGTATGATCAGAATGCCTCCTTTTTTTGATCATACACTTCTTCTGTGTACCAAAACAAGATCTATGACTGTGAAACTCCCACCCGTTGTTTCTGTCTGCTCTCAGGAATCTAGGGGAACAAATCTATTCAGTCTAGTCGGTTCTT